TACTACTAGTAAAGTAGCAATTCATCAGCAAACGCGACCTTTTCTCTCTCTTTTTTTTTTTTTTTTGAGACCAAACACGCCCCTTGGAACCAGGATTCAGACAACAAACAAACACTGGAAATGGACAGGCACAGGTCAAGAACACAGTCCGCTCCTTTATGCACACACTGGCGCCCTTTTCTTTGATATTGTCTCTCTCTCCTTCTTTCGCGGTCTGGATGGTTTTGTTCGGCGTCGCGACCGGAGTTTTATTGTTGCGGGGGCCGGTACGCTAGAGGAAACTTACCACGCTAGGACGGATTTGGCCTGGGTATGAGTGTATCATTTGTCAATGTGGATATCTCTTTTACATATATTAAGCCAGATGCGATTGTGGATCTTTGTACAGTAATGGGTTGCCATATGGCTGTATTCCTAGCTAGCCAAGTAGAGCCGGTACTTGTGCACTGTGCTGTGCATATATGTGCTGTGCCAATATATTTATATGCATCTTAAAATTTTTAAAGTTGTAGAAGCTCCGTTATGCATTTCTGACGTACAATAATATAGAAAGGACAAGATCCGAAAAAAGGGGGAATCACGAAGGAATAAAAGACACCATAACGAAGCAGAAAGTGAAATCTCAAGTATTGTACAGTAAAGAATATACTAAGCACACCGTATGGGGTGCTATAGATCGATTGGACAAAACTAGGGCGCAACGGGGGAGCGTATACAGTACATATCGAGACAAATACACGTAGAGAGCATGAAATGGACCGATAGATAAGCAAACATGTAAATGCGCAGGTGGCTGAGAGGGTTGTTGACGGGCCCGTACCGTACGAGCACATCCACAACTTCATTTTCCTCAGCAAGTCCAGATTCCAATCGTACCATCCCTCCGCCCCTCCGTCATATACCCATCCTTGATCCGCACGCGATCGACGATTGACGCTGTCCTGCGTTCTCCAGCTGCTATTACTCCTGCGCCGCAGTTCCAGTGCTGCCCCTCTATCTTGTCGTAGACTTTGACGACATCTTCGCCCGCCGCGGAGACGATGCGACGCGTGTCGAACATCATGCTGGTGATGGGGTTGTCGTATGCGTACGCGTCGTATATAGACCCAGTTCGGAGGTCCCAGATCTGTTTTAAATTTAATTTTAAAAGTATAATGTGGTTAGTTTGAAATAAATGACACAGTGGGAGATTTATTATAATCCCACCAATAATGTAATTCCTTTTAACTTACCCGTACACTCCGGTCCATGCTCCCCGTCACCAAATGCACGTCGTCAAATTGCAAACACGTCACGGGCCCAGTATGTCCCACCAAACTACGGTGCACCTGTCCGCTACGCAGATCCCACAAGCGTACCATCCCGTCTGCTGTTCCGCATGCCAAGGCCGCGTCGAAGCATTGCACTGCGCCGACAAAATCCGCTGACACATCCGGGAGCCGGCCGGTTGGTCGCCACGGATTTTCACTCGAGGATAACGTTGAGGCCTGCGCCGCAGCCCAGAGGACATCGAGCGTCTGGACGCATCGGCCCTTGACCAGATCCCACTGCCGGAGTGTTTTATCCGCCGACCCTGATATGAGCGTGTCGCCGCGGAAGTAAAGGGCCGTTACCTCATCGACGTGTGCTTCGAGGGAGAAGAGTCGGCAATCTTCCATGCTAGAGGGAGGAGGCGGAGGGGGTGCCGCCGCGGGGTCTTCATACCCAAGCGCATCCTCCTCGTCATCCTCCTCGTGGTTACCAATGCGATTATCCCGTGGTGCATATTTTGCACGGCTGAGATCCCATAGCCGGATCGATGCGTCCATGGATCCCGTTGCGACGAGGTTATCCTCGACCTGCAAGCAGCGGACGGAGGCATGATGTCCTTCCAAAAATCCCATGCATCGACCGAGATTTAGATCCCACACCCGGACTGTATCGTCCAACGCTGCACTGACCATGGTTCCGAAGGGGACGTCAAAATCTATTGCCGATACCATATCATTATGCGCTTCTAGTTCTCTGATCATGGAGCCTGGCTCAAAATGTTCGTGGAGGACGGGCATGGATCTCTTTCCTGCAAAGGGAAAAAATAGTATTAATAATTTATTTCAATTGTTTTGTTGATATGATATAATGCTAAAGAGAGGGGGGGGGGGGGGGGGGGGTGGGGCCTGAAGCCTAATTTTATCGACTCCAAGGAATTATATCCATGATTACGCGTATTGGCGAACTCTTGCCATTGATAGCAGGTGATTTTCTCGCGTATATTAAGACCGAGAATACATTTCAAAAATTTTAGAGTACTCTACGAATATCCAAAGTACACTGGTCTTTGTGGAACCT